CAGATAGACAGACACACCGACAGACAACTAGGAGATCCCGTATTTTGACATGGAACATTAATGATGTTGTTAAAGCGAAGTTCACCCGAAGAAAACCGTGCGATATATCTAGTATACTTCCAAAATTTGGTTATATTTTAAATTGTATTGTATAATATATAGATAAAAGTATTTCCATAAAGTAATTTATTCACTATTGTAACCTTTTTGTAGTTACAAAAATCCATTCCCAGCCCAGTCACATAGCACGTGCTTCAACTCAAGATAGTCTTGTCCTCTAAACAAAGATATTACAACAGATGTTACTAAGAAAATACCCAAAAAAATTTGAGAAATAGGCTTTAGTTTGGGCAGCCGTTGAGATCAATACCATTGAATACCATGAACCAAGTCTCTTTACTACTACGGACTCACAGCAGGTGTGCTCTACAACCACTGATGCAAATAGGTACGTACGGAGCACTCACACTAGTGTATTATAAGAAGTGTGTACATATTACGTTGTGTGTAGTTACGCCGCACATAACAACACGCTCGCCCTTTATTACTGGTGCAGTTCATTCGTAAAAAGTGTTGCTCTACTTGCGAATTTGCTATTTTAATTTTTTGTATATTAAAATTTATTAATATTATTAATTATTAATTTATTAATTAAATTTAATATAATAAAAAATTGGGATATATTTAATATAAAAAAGTCTATTTTTATTTTCCGTTATAATAAAAGGTTAAGTAAATGTTAAATATTTACAACAGCAAAACCGCCGTTCATCAAGTTCACTTATTGACCTTGCATGTTGCTTAATTTAAAAAAAAAATATTACGTGACTGTAATAACGCGTATAATAATTTATTATTATTAAAATAGTTCTTTTGTTTTGAATTATTAATCTTTATCTACCATACCAACTTTGGACATGGGCCTCTCCCCTTGGATTTGCCATAATTATCAAGTTTGGCAGGCGCGTTAATGATCGTATTACCAGAGGTCTCGTTCTTTAACATTCTTCCCCACGCTGTCGGCTTAAACATTTCACGTCTAGTGTAAACTGGATGGTTATATCGACATCTATCCGAGTCCATGAGGTTTTTTTGGCATTTCTCATTATCGCTTCTTATGACCACCACTAAAGTGGTAAGATAGGTAGTTAAGATACTAAGAGCATCCATCTTCCCATTTCACGTCAGCCGTCATCACCAGCGTTTCAACCACCATCACACGTCATTTTTTTAACTTTATTTTGAAATATAAAAATAGTTCATTGTACTGCTAATTACTTCTTGTTTTCTAATTCAATGATAATATCCGTAAATAAGAAAACAATGTAAATAATTAAAAATTAAAAATATTATACAACCGATTTTTTATTTCCCCCCACGAGATGGAGTGACGACCTGGTAAGACATGCAGGAAGTCGATGGATGCAGGTGGCTCAGGACCGTGTTTTGTGGCATTCTTTGGGGGAGGCCTATGTTCAGCAGTGGACTTGTGAAGGGCTGTAATGATGATGATGATGACTTAAAAACTGTTGGTCAGGCCTTGATCAAATATATATGGGACCACACGACAAGCACCAGCTTTCAAATAAAAAAAGGATCATCGAAATCAGTTCACCCAGAAAAAGCTATAAGGTGGCACAAATATTAAAAAAAAACATACAGTCGAATTGAGTACTGTTTCCTTTTTGAAATCGGTAGAAAAATAACAGAATAAAAGAAAACAATATACTCGTACTTTTTAGTTCTTGCTAAAGTAGAGCATTAATCGCCTATAATAGCCCGCGGCAAAGTAGAGGCAACCACTTTTTATACCGTTCCAACGTATTCCCGCGACCCCTTCGCATCCCGAGGGCCATCAGTTCCTTATTCTTGCGTGTTTTTGAATGCGTACAACATGTTTAGTGATTTCGTCTTCTTCAGAAATTACTATTTAAAGAAACATTTACGTTTTCAAATGATTAAAAATTATTTCGTGATAGCAATCCACGATATGTGCAAGAACTGATTTTATTGTGATGTAGACATGATTACAATAAATGTGATGCTGAAAGCTGGATATAAAATGGTGAAGGATTTGACAAAACAACATAAACCTGTAAGTTATATGCATATTTTTTTAATCAACGTGAAAATGTCAAAGCCTGCGTTTCGTTGAGCAATAATATTTGTGTCACTCATCACGGTCATATCATTGAGGGCTTAAATTCAATCAAACTACTCTCATCTAATTCTTCTAATTTTGTCATATCATTACTGTCATCTAATAAGCTGGATAAAGTCCCATCACTTGCAGGAAAGAGAGCGACGTTTTTCAAACGACGTTATTTACTTAAAAGACAGTTAAACGTTTGCAATTTGTAAAATTAAAATAATTAGTACATTTTGGCGCAATTGAAATCAAAATTATTTTTGTTCGAGTTAAAAGACATAATTTTTTTTTAATAGAAAAAGGGTGACAAACTAGCACATAGCCCATCTGCTGGTAGGTTGTGCTGTCGCCTATACACATCTTCACTATCCTAATATTCAAAATGCGGATACGTTGTCACCCCTGAAGACTAAGATGGAATGCCCAGTTTCTAGCAAAAAGGGTCTCCGGTACTTTACACTCACTTTAAACGCACATTTTAAATTTTACACTGGTATTCTGTTAAAGCATGGCCCCTCTTCGATCGAGACGACCTTTTCCTGCTACAATCATAACATAGCTGTAGCAATGCTCTACCACGTTTAATATCATATGGGTTATATTTTATTAATTTTTGACTGCAGCATATCGCGTGAAACTTGCGCTGATGGAATGGGATCTGCCCTAAGAATAACGTAATTATTGTAGAACTCTGCCCAATTCTGGACCAGAATAAGTGTCCAAGGTGATATTCCATAACATTTACCTCTCTACCAAATTTTTAATCAAATACATTTATCGCATTCAACATTGTTTTTTAAAGAACATGTGTGATAAACGAGTACACAGTCCACTTAATGGTAAGTCGATGCTGTGGCCCATAGACATCTACATTTAACCTCGATGAAGAATCAAAATTAAGATGCGTTGTCACCCGTGAGGACTAAGATGGAATGCCTCATTTTCAGTAAAAAGGGTCTCCGGTTCTCTACACTCACCATACGAAACACAACAGCGTTAAGCTGCTATTTTACGCTGATATTCTGTGAGAGCGTGGTCCTAACCGGTCGAGCTGACCCATTCGTGCTACAACCAAGTAGGATAGCTGCAGCGTGGCTCTAACTCGTTTAACATAATTTAACGAGAAGCATCAACACACTAGATTTCATATTGTTGTTATCAATAAGATTAGTAAATTAATAATAACTTTTTACCACGTTTTTATTAATTCACTTTCTGGTTTGTATGTCTGTCTGTCGTTCCGTTTGGAATTATGCAACTCAAATTTCGAGCACTTTCCGATAAGGTCAAGACTTGAAATTTTGAACATAGCTCAGAATTTGATGACAATGTAGGAATATGAAAAAAAAACTTAGCATATAAATGTTTTTATTAAACAATTTAAAAAAAATCTCAAAAAGTAAGTTTACATAATATTTCTGTGCTGCTGCATATTTGATTTGATCAATTGAAAACGTGCTAAAGACGACTACACTATAAAAAAGCTTGACAGTTATTTCTGACATTTTAACAGGTATATTCGTATATAATAAACTCATTAATACCAACCTCCTATTTTGAAGTTTGAAGTCGTTAAAACCTATTATGAGACAACTGCAGCTTGCGTGTTTGTAACGTATAAAACAATGTATTATTACATTTACAGCAAAATAACGGTAAAACAAAATATCTAAGTAGTAAAAGTATAGATATAAATATAATTTCGTCTATAGGTACATCTTCAATGTATAGACGAAAGCAAAAATCGAGGTAAATTACGCAATACCTTCATTGCAGGACAAGTAATGCTGTTATTTTAGTTAGTTAGCTGTAAGTTTAGTGTTCTAATTTTAAAAAAAATCATTAAGTATCGGGGGAAGGTTTCAATACTTTACGACATTACAATTGCCATACTTTCGTAAGTAGTTTTGCAAGATGACGTGTTCGTGGACATTGTGGTTTATTATTATCATAAAACTATACGCTAGAATTTATATTTTTATTATGAATTATGAGGCGTTTTACGTACTTGGACAAACATTCAGACACGAAACAATTATTTTGTAAGTCTCACAAACACTTGCTATTTACGAGATTTGAGATGTTATGTTGTTGTTGATCGTATCAGTTAGCTTAGATCAAACTCTATGTTAGCGTGTTTATTTGCAGCACTTTTCGGTTGTTCTCCTGAAGTCCACATTGGTATACTAATAATAGTTCTGCCAATACGACGGCGACGACGAACTCTTTTATCAGTTTTCCTTTTGAAGCTAAATAAATTATTTACCTGTCCAAAGGCTATTTTATTTTATTCCGGTATGGAACCGAAACAAAACCGAATAGCCTATTAATAACACAATGTAACGCCGTATGGCGTTAGTATCGGCATAAGAGAATCCACTATCCTATATCATCCCAAAAAAGTCTAAAGAGGCGAGAAAGCGAAACTGAAACAGTATACGGGCAGTAGCATCTTCCTGATCATCATCATCATTTCACATCACTTTACAAATCCACTGTTGAACATAGGCTACCAAAGAATGCTACAATGCACGGTCCTGAGCCACCTGCATCCATCGACTGCCTGCATGTCTTACCAGGTCACTCCATTTAGTGGATCTCACACTTCGCGTACCGTTACGAGGCTGCCACTCGAGAACCTTGCTTCCCGATATCAACTCGAAATAATAAAAATCAATAAGCAAATATTCCCCCTATGAGGCAACCTATGGAGGAGGTCTATGTGAACAGGAACAGGGAAGGCAAGAATTAATGAATGAAAATGTGCAATAGGTACAAGGAAGCAGTCGTAAACTGAAAACCTCCATATTAATAACAAATACATTAATACGTGTTTATCTCTATTTCCCAGATGGAAACATCGGGAGGGTCGGAGAGCTCCGGCGGTGAAGACGCAGAAGCACGGCGGTCACGCCGAGGTCACGTACTCGCTGAATTGCTTCAAACCGAAAGGATCTACGTACAGGAACTCGGCTCTATACTTACTGTAAGTTGCACATAATTATTATTCTTATTCCACTTTCACGCAGACACAAGTCCCCACACAGGCAAATCTCTTTTTATGCTTAGGAGACCGTCTGGGTAGGTACCACCCTCATTACTATTTCTGCCGCCCAGCAGCGGTGCTTGCACTGATGTGTTCCGCCACAGTTTTAAGAGAGTAAACTGTGGTTACGCTCTAAAGCGCACTGAAAACCAGTATAAATACAGGCTGAGAGGCATTCCATCTAATTCTTCAGTAGTAAAAATGCACCTGTAGCCTTCTTTGTTTAAAGTTGTTTGCAGTTATCCATGATCTGCAATAGCCACTTACAATCAGGTTTTTATACGTGGTAGAGCCATGCTGCAGCTATATTAGTAATATAGTTGTAGCACTAATGAGTCTGCTCGACCGGGGAAGAACCACGCTCTCACAGAATATCAACGTAAAATAGCAGCTTAACGCTGCTGTGTGTCGTATGGTTAGTGTAGAGAACCAGAGACCCATTTTACTGGAAACGAGGCATTCCATTTTAGTCCTCACGGATGACAACGCATCTTGATTCGTAATCGAGGATAGATGTAGATGTCTATGGGTCACAGCAACCACTTACCATAAGGTGCAAGTTTGCTTGTTTGTCACCCTTATCCTATAAAAAAAATGTAAAGGTTGCTTGGTAGTGCGTTTGTCACTTCGACTTTATAAAAAAAGTCGGAGACAAACAATTTATATAATAACCTGAGTATATTATATAATGTTCGTTTTACAAATTATTTTATTGTGGCAACCGATTACTAGTGCAAAATGAATTTTATTTTCATTTCCATAAGTACCTACGTCTTTTCCCTTTAAGAAGGTAGTAATTTTTAATAAGCCTAATTAGTCAAGGTACGTTTAACAATTCTTTAAAACTCTTAACATACTGACATATAATATATATATATATATATATATATATGTATATTTATTTGTTAGTTATCTTTTTATATTAAACCAACTGAAATAAATAGCAATTCTAGTTATAATTCATGTATTAAATATTGTAAAATTATTATTTATACGTGGTAGAGCCATGCTGCAGCTATATTAGTAGTATAGTTGTAGCACGAATGGTTTGGCTCGACCGGGGAAGAACCACGCTCTCACAGAATACCAATGTAAAATAGCAGCTTAGCACTGCTGGGTTTCGTGTGGTGAGTGTAGAGAACCGGAGACCCTTTTTACTGGAAACGAGGCATTCCATCTTAGTCCTCACGGGGGACAACGCATCTGTATTTTGATTCGCAAACGAGGATAAATGTAGATGTCTATGGGCCACAGCAACCACTTACCATCAGGTGGAGTGTGTACTCGTTTGTTACCCTATCCTATAAAAAAGCAAAGCAAACAACATTGCGACGGTTCGCGCCTAAAATTTATTTAAATAATATTTGAGATTAATTTAACCTTCATGCTGACCCATAAGAGCTATAAATATCTGTATTAAAACTATTGTTAATCATCTGAATATTAAAAAAAATATTGTATCGTGAATTCAGTCAAAACTAAGCTTTAGTTCGCGATAAGCCAAGGCTCAATTTACATTGCGGCGGAATGGAAGCGTCAATTTCGCCTAATCGCGCGAGAAGCCTCGCGAATTCGCGAGAACGCTCGAGCATTCCCGCGAATTCCAGCGACTGCGCCTCGAAGCTAAAACGTTCAGTTATGTCACAGAGTACCTTTGTATAAACCGAAAGTTTATACAAAGGAAGTTTATACAAAGCTATATAGGTAAAGGTTCAGTTATGTCTAGATCTTTGGATCCCACAACATTCGCGCCACTTCCCGCGGATTCCACAGACTGCACCACTAATTTTACTATCTACAATTTCGTTACAAAAATTCGCTTCCGTTTCGTTCCGCGGCAGTGTAAATTGGGCCTAACAAAATATTCAAGACGTCTATCGAACTCAAATACATCATATTGAGTGATATGATTTGTGTAAACGTCAACAATATTATTTTACACCTGCCGGTAAAAGTCTACTGTTGGATAAAGGCTTCTCTCATTTTCTCATTTTTAGAGAGGATTTGCCTTAATCATCATGTTTTGCAGATAAATTGGTGATCGCAGATCTAGGCGTCCCATACATTTTAAGCTACCCTCCTTGAACTCTCTAAACTGGAATTTAATGGGGCAATGAATTATTTGTCATTATTAAATACTCTATTAAATGTTTCTACATACTTTAAATGAAACGCACAATATTCAGCAACACATTATTGCGCCAAATAAATAAAAAATAATTTTTATTACTTGTTGCACATCGATATGAATAGAAATTAAACTAAAGTATAGTAATATGTATAAAAGTAAAAAAAAAAAAACTGAAAAATGATGATCTCAGAGTATTAGGTCATGAATGGTAGATATGTCATGAAATTATTGTCATCGGGAAATTGAAATTTTGCAAAATTTCAGATTAATCATCTTCTAGAAATTTCATTCCGTTTATACATTCATAGTATGTATCTGTACAGGTCAAGCAAATAATTTTAAGCGAGTAATAAACGCGTGGTAAAATCAAAGTTAAAGTCAAGTCTATTAGACATTTATGCTATGGTTTAATAAGGTTAAGTTAAAAATGTTACATTGTTTTTAAAGTTATTTGTTCTTTGGGGTTGTTACAAATTAATTTGCTTAATTCCACGTAAAGAAAGAAAATGGTGTGTCCTGCCCAGTTTTAAGTGACCAGGCCGTACTTAGCGGCCAGCCTCCGCAGAGTCTACTTCACCTGAGGATGCCTCGTGTAGAGGCGAAACACGTGTCGTATTTTCGAGAGTGGTGTGTCGTACCTAGTGTGGTGGTGCTGGGGATGGTAGTGCGGGGTTTGACGGCGACGGGTATAGTGCGCGCGATTGAGGGAGGATGGGAGGTCCCCTTAAAACTCGGCAGGACACATCATTTTCTTTCTTTACGCGGAATTAAGCAAATTAATTTATAACAACCCCATTATAATGGATTTCCGCAAAGTAACTATCAATCTCTATCAATTATTTATTCTTTATTCTACACAATATGAGATGGTACCAATTTTAAATATTTAAAAAGATGTACAAAGGCAAGCTTAACCGTAATAAGAGTTCTCTTCCAGCAAACCCTTTGGGAAATAACAATAGTTTATAAGTTATCTAAAGTTGTGTAATTTATGTAAACAGTGAAACAATGTCAGTCGATGAAGTAATTTTTTGGGTGTAGATTTCAATTTCTTTAAAAATACGTGCTTGAACATTGATTTATCATATCTGTATAGATATATATATACCTAATTGGATTCATAATTATATTTTAAATTAATAAAAAATATATAAGTTCATTCGTGGTTAGAACAAGTAAAGTTATGTCAGTTTACATATATATATCCCACTGCTAGGCACACGCCTCCTCACATTTTTGAAAGCATCGGAAAAATATTTTACATTAGTTGTATTTAGAACCTCCAGTGTAATCCCAGTGCTTTTCATACGACGTGGTAAAAGAGCACACATACCCTCGATTGAAAATCAATGCAGATGGGTTGCCGTCACTAAGGACTAAAATATTATGCCTTGTTACCAGTAAAAATGGTAACCCGATCTCCACATCCACCATTCGAAACACACCAGCATTATACTGCTATGTTACGCTGCGTACGTGGTATTTCCCCCGGTCTGCTAAAAGCTTGTACCAAGCATCCGAAACTTCCTGCTCTTGTCATCGTCCATTAACCCTCCAAAGGGACTCGCCTTGACAGCATATAAAACAACCATTACGTCACAGTTGATTAACTCAAATGATTAGATATCAATCAAAGAGTTTGCGCTCTGAAAATTATATATGCTGCGCTATGCAAGTAGTGCGTGTTCCACACGCGTAAACTTTACAAGCTCAATGAACAGTCACGCGCAAAGTGAGTTAGCACTATATACAAGACTCTATCTAGTGCAGTCTACGATCCACACCCGGCGGATAACACTGGCGCATCCAGCGGAACATATTGCATTTTACACATTCGCTAACCACCGCACGGTATAGTCCATCGCTCGCGTGAAATACAAATCTCACCATGAAATATGGAAAGTACGACCTACATAAATCTTCCACGAATCTAAGCATCGGCACCTCATATTCGTGGTATTACAAAAAGAATGACAATCCAACAATACGTAAGAAACATGGTCTTACCAGAGTCACGTCAGATTCAACGCTCTTCAGTGATTACGCTAATCAAATGGCTATGTTTGAGAAGGAAAGACATGCTAGAAACAAAAAGTGTAAGAACTCTGCAAGTAACGTTGGAAAGAACAACCGATTGAAATCCGACCTAAATAATATAAAGCCAGTGACCACAGAACCGTTTATCGGTAACTTCTATTACGGTAAAACGTTGCCCGGTTACGAGTTTTTACAGAAAAGTGATAAAAATATTACTTATTTGCCGGATTCCGACATTGTTACGCTCTCCGAGGGAAACACTGCCGACTCTGTGACAACTGCACGAACTATTATTGATATCCCAGAAGTTATCAAAAATCCTCTTTATGGGTGTCTTCAAACAGATGTTCATATACCAACATCGGAGTACTCCACAGAATCAACACTTTCCAAGGATTCTCAATTAAAATCCACTAGCTGTACTGAACTACGAAAGACCACGTGCAGTAGTAAAGACACTGAAGACATTCTATCGACAATACTTAAGGACTATAAACGGATAATGAAAGAATGGAATCACACGATCAAAGATCATTATTCGACAGTATGTCATAAAAAAGGTTCAACCATGTGTCCTAAACGTAATCGATATTTAAAAACTTCCAATCATTCACTCTATAGGTATCCCTATACGATCGGCAACTGCCGAAGAAAAGTAAATAATAGTGTAAGGAGGAAAGGCCAAAAGGGTAAAAGAATGAGTACTTTCAGCAGTTGGACGACATCTTTACAGAATTTAAAAAAGAAACTACGGAAAAACAATGTTACCTGGGCTTCTTATGAATGCGAATGCTTGAAAGCTATTTATGCTGATTATGATAGACGTCTCCAAGCGTGGTGTGAAACTATTAGCCAGTGTTCCTCTTTTCTTAGCTCGGTATTAATTCAGTGACCATAACACATACGAAATCTTTGAATCATATTTAATTAAGGCAAACCATTACTTTTTTAGGGTTACAAGGAAGAGATTGAAAAACCGGAGAATCAACACGTAATACCAGCTGCATTGGTTGGACAAGCAGACGTATTATTTGGAAACCTCCATGAACTGTTCACATTCCACCAAGACGTTTTCTTAAAAGACCTAGAGCGTTCTATATCGGCGACTGAATTAGTAGCGTTATGCTTTGTTGAAAAGGTGAGAACATATTTATGTTGTTATTAATATATTTCTTTCAACTTTAATTGATAACTTTCCCTTCTTTTCTTGCGCTTCTAAACAACGCATACATAATCATATGAAATAAAAATACATTTTTGACGCTGTATAATCACGAATAAAGTTGAGAGTCACTAAGTTGATTTAACTTATAAAATAAATATACGTTTTATTTTAGAGAGAGACGTTCTTCAGACTGTACAGCTATTACTGCCAAAACATTCCGCGGTCAGAGCGACTCCGGGAGACATTGGTGGACACTCACTTGTTCCTGCAGGCGTGTCAACAACGTCTCGGTCACAAACTGCCACTGGCCGCGTATTTACTTAAACCTGTACAGAGGATTACCAAATATCAACTACTACTCAAGGTAACATTGATAGAAAAGCTATGCTTTGATTTATATCAACCTTAAGCCTCCAGCAATTTTCCTTTGCTTATAAATGTGACAATAACCATGAATATTATATTCGCAAAATATGCAAACATCGAGCAAAAAGTATCTGTGTTTTTTTTTAAATAATACATCAACTTGCACAAGTCTTTGACATAATTATACAAAATACCAGTGTTTTTTTTATTTGCCTTCCAGGACTTACTACGCTATAGTGAATGTGGGTCGATGAGCGCTGGTCTGCAGCAAGCCCTTGACTGCATGCTCGTTGTACTAAAATGCGTTAACGACTCTATGCACCAGATTGCCATCACTGGCGTACCAGTAAGTTGTTTCATTTAGGTACTACTTTGTGAAATACAATTTTAATTATTTATTCTATCACACTGTTTGATCTTTAAAATTTACAAAAATAATCAATTGTTTGCAACTATTATTTAAACTTATATAATATGTTAAATATCTTAAATAATTAGTATAATAAATGCTGTAAAGCATTGTTAAGAATTTTAAGAGCCGTAATAGTTTAGGATCAATACAATACAACTTCATATATAATGTAACTGCACCAGGTGGACCTGAGTCAGCAAGGCGAGCTGCTGCTGCAGAGTTCGTTCCTGGTGGTGTCGGAGAACAAGCGTGATTTGCGGCTGCGGCTGCGACCGCGTCGCCGCCACATTTTTCTCTACGAGAAGGCCATGTTGTTCTGCAAACCCGCCACTAAAAACAACCACAACAAGGCGACCTATCATTTTAAACATGACCTGCAGGTAATGTATACTTGCAGTAGTATAGTTTCTTATTTTACCACTTCCTTGTAAAAGTTACTCTGTATTTGTTAGAATAAAAAAATAACTTAGTTTCATTATGAAAAGTACAAAAAAGATGTGTCAGATTTATACATGAATAAGTAGGTAAATTGCATATTGAGGTTTTACAGTTTTGATATAAGATATTTACATTAAAATATTTTACATATCTAAACATCTTTACATTTTAAAGTGTACTTACTAAAAATTCTATTGTTAAGTGTTTGCTCAGCGATTACATTATACACTTATCTTAATCTAATTTAGATTGCTATATCTCTACATATTATAACACCCGAATCATAAAGATTTTTATGATCTCTCCCTTTATTCAAGAATTTTTTTATTTTTTGAAGAAAAAGACTAAAAAATATTATTTGTCTTTTCGTTATGTTCGTCTTATATGTTCCCATTTATTTCAATTAATATTAAAAAATAAATTATACGATTTATACCTAATAAAACAGTTGCTAGCATTCGTTTTCATTTTAATTAAATCTCTTAATAAAATATTTCCTGTCATGTCATATTGCTAAAGTTTTTAGTAAATCTTCCATCTACTTAATAATCCCTTCTGAAAATTCATAATATGTCATTGATATCTTTGCAGATGTCACAAATAGGTCTAACGGAGTCAGTGAAGGGCGACCCGCGTAAGTTTGAAGTGTGGCGACAGGGGAGATCGGAGGTGCACACAATAACGGCGCCCACGGTGGAGGTGAAGCGCGCCTGGGTGGAGCGCATCAAGCGAGTGCTGCTCGACCAGCTCAAGGAGCTCAAGGGCGAGAAGGTCCGGCAGTACGGCGCGCAGCACAGGTTTGTGATTTTGGATTTAATTTTTGGCACAATAAATGTAGGTACGTACGGCTTTCGTTTTGAACGTGTCGTAAATGAGACTTTTTTTAAAGAATAAAGATATATTTTAAAGCTGAAATTTCGTGTATATTGATTTTTTGGAATGGAATCTTAAAAATTTATTAGCTATGATCCTGGTAATAATATATAATTTAAAATTAAAAATTTTGTACAGCTGACTTCAATATAAGTTATTAAGAATAACTCAAAAACTATTGGTCTGACCTTGATCAAATTCATATGGAACCACACGAGAAGTACCAGCTTTCAAATAAAAAAGAATCATCGCAATCGGTTCACAAATTAAAAAGTTATGAGGTAAGACACATAAAAAAAACATACAGTCGAATTGAGTACCGTCTCCTTTTTGGAAGTCGGCAGAAAAATGATGTGTCTTACCTAGTTTAAAAAACGCATCCTTGTGGCTTAGAATGCTGTGAATACTGAATAGTAAGAATATAAGGGAATTGATTGGAGTCCTTCTAAACAAACCAAGTGAAGCGTTGTAACAAAGTCCCATAGGATTTTGTTCCCTTTAGACCCCTGTTGTTCAATACATTCCCATTCACCCCATGCGTACTGGACGCGTATCCGAAATATCCATCAAGAGGCGACGTGGTTTTACTATTAATGTTATTTTTTCCGGTTACCCACGCGCAAAATAAATATTGTAGATCCAGTCAAGCTCGCTGGTTGCTGTATTGTTGACAGGAGTTGAGAACCGGTTCCAAATTTTATAACGGTTTTTCTTCACTTTTTGGTAAGGCTTAGGTTTCCCTTAAGGTCGTATCAAGATAATGGTTCCAAGTGCAAGATTCCGGTGTCAAGATTTCCAAATCGAGACGGGAAGCGTTCGTGGTGTTGTGGTTTAGCTTTATTTTATATTATTACTTCGTACTATCTTCTTACCTATTTCTGCAACCAAGCAGCAGTGCGTGTACTGCAGTGGTCTGACCTGAAGGTTACAGAAAGCCAGTATAATTGGGATCTAATAGTCCTCAGAGGTGACAACGGCATCTGTAACCTTATTAGTTTGAAGTAGGTTGTAGATGCACATGGACTGAAGAAGCCACTTACCAAGTGGATTGTTGGTGATTGGTCTAGTAAAATGACTGCTTGCTTAGTACAGACTGCTTTATATTTCTTGTCTATGGTCGCAGCCACCAAGGCCCATATACGCACACGTATACGTAATATTACAACTGTAAGTTCGTCTGTCCTTTAATTTTATAAAAAAAATTAAATGACCTTGATGTTACGAAGACTTCTAGGTCATACTACTAGATGGGTTCTGCGGCCGCAACACATAGCGTACTAATTTAATAATTTTTTGTTTTGATTAGCTCTTTGTTTTGTAAATCGCAAATGTTCTTTTCGATAGTCTTATATTGATTTAACACTTTGTCAAAGTGATTTGAATTTTATTTCAGATAAGTATGTAGCTTTATTTCGCGCGCACGCACACACACACACACACACACACACACACACACACACACACACACACACACACACACACACACACACACACACACACACACAGACACACACACACACACACACAGACACAGACACCCACACAGACACCCACACAGACACAGACTCAGACACACACACACACACACACACACACACACACACACACACACAGACACCCACACAGACACCCACACAGACACAGACTCAGACAGACACACACACACACACACACACACACACACACACACAGACACACACACACACAGACACAGACACAGACACAGACACAGACACAGACACAGACACAGACACAGAC